ACTCTTTCCTCAATCTTCTTCATGACAGTTAATGAGATTACAATGCATGTAAGTGCTCAGGTAAAAAATATAAGCACTGCCTGTATCTCTCAAGTTGAATCCTTTTCTCTCAAGCTGAACCTGCTCTAAGTCCAAAATATGTCTGGGATTGATGAAATTTTAACATTTCCACAGGGCCATGTTAATCCAAACAAACCTCATACCCTGATTGATGAATTTTGACTTCCTCCTAAGTAATCTTGCTCCCTTTCTTCCCAGTTACCACACAGCACCCATAAACATCTTTTAAAAAGGTGAATCATGCTTATCCCCAGGTGCTTTGCAATGACTTTTAAAATTATTCTACTCCAAATAATTTATCTTATAATAAAATCATTTATAGAACACTTGATATGTACATCTACTGGCACACAAAATTATACTTTAAAAATACCTTGTATCATAGTTGCTTATGATATCAGCTAATATTACATTTTCTCAGAACACAATATGATAGTAGCTAGTGGTAGGAAACCACTGTGTATTTGAAAATTCGCCAGATATATTTTATAAAATGGGTTTATTCACGTTGTCTTACTTTAAAGATTTACTGTAAATTGCAATTTCTATGTAAAATTCATCCTTAGCTTTCACTGGTTTCACATTAAAATTATTTATCATTATGCCTTGAAATTGTATTAAAATGATATTTCCTTGTCGTTTAAGGTGGGCCCTTTTTGAAGGACTACATAACCATTCAAAGTGTTGCATCTTCCTCCATTGTCACACTTTATTTTACAGACCTAGGTCAACAAGTCAGTTGGACTACAGTAAGTATCGATTTGAAATTCAATAAACATGTCCCACATTTTGACGTAATTTGTTGACATAGAGGACATTTTCTGTCAAATAAATTCATAGTGAAACAAAATATTGCACTAAAGGTACTTTAAATTTTCCATTCTTACTATGATCAGTGGCCACATTTCCATTCAAGAATTGGAGAAATGAAAATACATGGTTGAAAGAAGGAGGATAAATCCCTTTTTAAATGTCAATCTACCTTATGACCGATGGCTTTCTGCTTTCCCTATGCTTTGTCAGTTACATAGTGTTTCTTCAACTTTTCCTTCTAAGAGCCTCGGGATAATGAAGACCCATTTGTTTGGAAACAGTGGAGAGAGAATATTCAATAAAAAATGTTCCAAGGCAGTGGGGAGTACATTTTAAAGACTGAGAGTGAAGTAGTAAGACTTCTTTGTGTTGTCAGGGGTGGGACTTTCTTTTGACTTTCTTGAAGGAGGTGTTTTCAAAGTGGTGGCAACAGAATCCAATAACATTAGAAGAATGAAGACCATATTAAAAAACAGGAGGACTAAGAAACATAAAATACTTGACACTACTTCACAAGTATTGACGTATTCATGAGTAATGGAATAGATGGATGGAATATCTTCAGTAGAAAGAAGCTATGAAGCTATGTGATATTTAGTGACAGGCAGTTAAGGAGTTAATCTGATAAATAATTTTGACTAGTGCAATCATTCTATTATTCAATTAAATTAAGCCTATTTTTATATTGTTCATATTTTTAAAGTTTTTTTCTGATTACATTCTATTTCATATTTGTGATATGGTTACTTTTAATATTTTCTATTCAAAATGGCTTTCTTTTGCCAGCATAGTGCTTTGAGTTTTCCCTTTATAGTTAAACAATCAACTTTTAAAATTATTACAGACACATGATAATTTATACATTGTTATTTAATTCTCAAAAGGAGAATTTCCAGTTTACATTCATTAATCAAAATGTTGTCACATGCTTTACTTTTCCAGCAATTTCTCCTTTAACATACATTATCTTCCTGTATTTAGATAATTATTTTAGTGTGTTTGCTTAAATGGTTCCTTTAGTTTCCAAGATTTTCTGAGCCTCTGAGTACTAATTTGTTTCACTAAAAACTGAGTTTATAGTATTCTGAATCCTTGTGAAGTATATCATAATGTTTACAAAACAACCTACTAATACATGCATCAAATAAGCAAAGGGCTTAATGTTTAAATGTGATATCTACAGACCTTTGCTAAAAGAGATTTTAGACTAGCAGATTTTGATTTTCGAAGGTTAAAATATTCACAGAGTCTTTGTCCACATTTATAATGAAAAGGGAATTCTGTCTACAGAAGTAGTATCAGAGTGAGTGACAATAACTGTGAGTTCATAAGAAATTCCAGCTGCAGCATTTGGATAAGCACTGAGGAGAAAAAGTGCTAAGGTAGAATTCTATGACAATTGTACTAGAAAATTATAGCTTATTTGGGAAGAAAGTCATTTAGGTGACAAAGAGAACTCTGAAAATAGGCTGGATATTTTAAAATCAACCCTATGGTTCACACACTCTTTTGCTGCAAATGAGTCAGCCCTATTAAATGCTAAAAATATACACATTATATTACAATCACACCCACTTTATATCAACCAAATTATACAAGAAAAGCAATATTTTTACCACACATAACATTCTTGCACATTCATAAAATATTAAAATGTACTCCTATAATAAAAGCATTATCATAAGTATTCTTTTTTTTTTTTTTTTTTTTTTTTTTTTTA